GCTTTGCATCGAAGCTAAAACTTAAAATATAGTAAAATAATTTTAATACGAATAAGAAATTTCTTCTTGCAAGGAGCGACTAAAGTGATAGGGTCCTTGATCTTTATTGAAGTTATTGAATGTAAATGAGATAAAAATCAAACGAGTTAAAAATGTATACTAACTTAAAAAGAATTAAGAAAAAATGCAAAAAATTCATTGCCATACGCGTGTTGGAACCTCGTACCCCAAGCGTGTAAAACATAAATTTTACCAACTCGGCAACCGTACGTTGCTTCCGGCGGTTGAAAAATTGGCTATTTAAGCTAGTTCAAATTTCAAAGTTATTTTTCTCGACTTAAAAGAAACAAACAAATTTAAATAAGTTTAACTTTCTATGCTATATTAATTTTTTATTTATATAATATTTATGAAAATCTGTACTCCCCTTGTCAGGTATTTTAAAATAAAATAAAATACAAAACCCAGAATTTTAACACAAAAATAGCATATTTTTGCATACGGTAGTCATTTTTACCATGAAGACAAATCCAGAGGTCAAATTTTTTTTTTTCACATTAAAGTATATTACATAAGCTTTAATTTAAGATATATTTAAAAGTGTCAGTATTTCCGGAATACTTTCAAAAATTAAATTGAAAATATCGTAGTAACAATACGCATGTTTAAAGTTTTGACCCCCCTTGTTAAAGGGGTATGATCCGATTTACAAAAAAAGCGTGCCAGATGAAAGGGGTATATCAATATTTATTATAAAAAAATAATAATATAGATCCATACATTTTTCCAAAAGTTATATAAAATATAAATTAAATAATATAACATATAAAATCGAGATTTTTTTCACGGAAATCGTACGTTTTTCTTTAACTTTGATGTCCGTTTTCACCACGAAGACAAGTCCAGAGGTCAAATTTTTTTTTTTCAAATTAAAGTATATTACATAAGCTTTAATTTAAGATATATATAAAAGTGTCAGTCTTTCCGGAACATTTTCAAAAGTTAAGTTGAAAAAGTTCTACTTTCTATACGCATTTTAAAAGGTTTGCACCCCCCCTGTATAAAGGGAAATGGTCCGATTTTAAAAAAAAGTATGTCGAATGAAAGAAGTATATATAAAGTATTTATCATTAAAGAATAAAGTTGATTCATGCATTTTTTAAAAAGTTATAGCAACATAATGTTAAAAAATGTAAAATATAATATCAAGAATTTTTTCACAAAAATAGCATATTTTTGCATACGGTAGTCATTTTCACCATGAAGACAAGTCCAGAGGTCAAATTTTTTTTTTTCAAATTAAAGTATATTACATTAGCTTTAATTTAAGGTATATATAAAATTGTCAGTCTTTCCGGAACATTTTCAAAAGTTAAGTTGAAAAAGTTAATTTTTTGTAAAAAAGTTACCATTTTGAAACCCCATCCTTTGGGCTGTTAAAGGGTCAAATGTTCACAAAAATATATAAAATGATAGGTAATTATCTAAGGTATCTATAAAAAAAAAAATTATATTGATTCGGTCATTTTTAAAAAAGTTATGGCAATTTTAAGTAAAAAAAATTGAAAAAATATCGAAAATTAGCGATTTTTAAATTTGTAATTTTTTGGGGGATTTCCCCCGTTTACGGGGAACGAGGGAATTTTTTTCAATTTTTGAGGGTAATGTCTTCGACTAGATACGATTTGTGATCTTTTGACATATTGTTCATCAAAATCGGTCCAGCGAGAGCTGAGATTAAGCGTTCACAGACACAAAAAAAAATAAAAAAAATAAAAAAACACATCATAGTAAAATTAATACCTTCTCAGCTTCGCATCGAAGCTAAAAAAAAAAACATCAAATTAAATTTATAAATTAATCAAAAATAATAAAAAAATCAAATAAAAACTGGCCTGACAGTTTTTTAACCTAAAATTCCAAGTTTGGAGTCGGTCCTGACCATATAACAGAAACGCATGAAGTTAAAACACAAAAGAAAAAACAACAAAACAAAGTTTATAAAAACATCAATTCACAAAACTATGGTGAAAATCTCGGTCATAACGGTTTTGTTCCTTTTCACGGCGACGGTCGGTATACGT